GGGGGGAAGGGGGGAGGGGGAGGGGGGTAGACTCTCCGACTACTCCAGTCTTATCAGAGATGGACGTTCAAACAAGAGGTCTCAACAGTTAGAAAACCTTACATAAGGTGTATTTATGAAGGCGTTGAACATATAATAATAGGTTGTCCGTCAATGTTTGATGATGACCAATGCATTTGCAGAGGAGAATCTTCCTCTAGCAAAATAGAAGAAAAAGAAACGAAAGTTATTTGAATTGTAACGGCTGCTATGGCTAATGAGACCACTTGTGGTGAGAGAAAAGTTTGCCACATTTTGAGCATTTAAGATCTTCATTTCCACCCATTGGTGTGTGTGCGGCTTGTGGGATTTTGAACACCCATAAAATTCGATTAGTTATGACCTTTAACTCGGCCCCCCCCCCCCGCGCCACAGAGCTGACCAAACGAGAGGTCAAGCCACACGTGCATGGGCTTCACTTCACGGCCGGGAACTACATCGCCTCCAACATTGTCTCAGCGATCAAGAAAAGCCGCAAGACTTTGGTCATCCTTACCGAGCAGATGCTGGACAGCTACTGGTGTACGTATGAGTTACAGGTAGGTGCATGTTTCAGGCCAGCTGGTTTGGTTCCGGTTTGGTTGGTTCTAAGTTGCTTTTTTTTATAGTTTGGTAAGAATTTTTACTGCGCTCGCAACTCAATAAAATCACATGAGCGCGCCTTACTTGTTTTGGTTCGCTTTTTTTTTTGGATTTAAAGTTTGGTAAGAGTTTTATGGTGCTTGCAACTGCATAAGGTCATGTGAGCGCACCTAAAGTGCTTTAAAACTTTCGTGACGCTAACTATTGTCAAATATACCCTAAAAAGTTAAACATAGACTCTCCAGCTTTTGCATAAGGACGTGTATCAATTTGTCTTTATAGACCAATATTTAAAAAAAAGACCTGTTAGCTGTTTTCTAGAAAATTCCTTAATAAGTAGTTATTAAAAATCCAAATGGGTGGTTGCTACTGATTTTAAAAGGTTTACTGCTGGGGCAATATCGCCTTCAAAAGCTATTTCGTCATTATATTTCTAATCGTGACATTGCGTTTATTGAATGCCAGTTTTGAGAACCTTTAGTGCAGAAAAAATATGTTCACTACAACAATAAATTCTTGTAACAAGTTTTGCAAATAAAACGTGTCATTGTTGAGCTGTGACGTAGGCCATATGCGTATGCAAAATGTTTGTGAGAGGAGGGAAGTGCTGTGAACTGTGGCATTTTCCGCGAGACGGAGATTTGTAATATTTTATCTAAATTTATGAAGAAATTTCCAAAAAACAAACAAACAAACAAAATCTAGCCTCAATTGGTGTGGAGAAACATGGTAAAGTAAAGTCAAATTGATACAAACTGCTGTGGGAAGTATGGGCGACAATGACTCACCCGTTAAAGATATAAACTCACCCAAAAAAGTCGAGGAACAAACATTCAAAGAAAGATAACTGAAGAACAGTTTAACCGAATGTATTCCTTTTTTCAGAAAAGATGCTTTCGACTCTCTTGATTAAGTGTGTACAATTTCAGATTTCAACAACAACGAGAAGTTCATGTAAACTGAGTTTAAGTCACACTGGTGGGATTTCAAAAGTCTGAACAGCCATAGTTTTTCATGAACATAGTCTATAGCGGGTTTAGCCACCTTGGTTGATCGAACACTCGGTGCAGCTTCGACGCATGTACAGGACATGCCTTCGGAGAACTTGTTGCGGTAGGTTCTGCCACTCCTGGACGAGGCAGCCCAAGAGTTGTTGAAGGTTTTTGTGCATGAGGGTGGTTGTTCCTTATCCACCGGTCAATGTGATCCCAAATGTTCTCTGTTGGGTTCAAATCCGGACTACAAGCTGGTCGGTCCATGCGGGTGACAGCTCGCTTCTGCAGGAAGTCCCCCACGATGCGTGCGCGATGTGGTGTGGCGTTGTCGCAATCCAGTAGAGCCCGGGGTCCAATCTGTTGCAGGAGAGGAACATCAAGGGGACGTAGGATTTCGTCCCTGTACCCTGCCGCAGTCAGATAGCCCTGTTTATGGTACAGGGGGGTCCTGTGGTGATTTGAAAAGCCTCCCACACCAGAATGGACCGTCCACCGTAGGGCGCCACCTGCTGGATGCACTCAGGGTGGAACAGCTCTCCTCGGCGTCCCCAAACGTATGCTCGCCTATCTGGGTGCAGGAGGTTGAATCTGGATTCGTCCTAGAAGACTACCTGGTCCCACTGACATTGTGCCCTCTGTGAATGGCGAGCAGACCACGCCCGGCGAGCTGCTTTGTGGGGCGACGTGTACCTTGGGCGCCTGGCAGGGACACGATAAGCGAACCTGGCTATACGGATACGGTTCCTTACCGTCTCCTCGCTCTCGTGGACATTGGCTGTCACCCGAAGTTGGTCCCTGATGCCGTTTGCAGAGGTGGTTCGTGACGTCACGGCATGTCTGACGATGAACCGGTCGATGCTGTCATTGGTCAAACGGGGCGACCCTGGTCGAGGCCTGTCTTGGACCCATTTGGTCGCTCGCTATCGTTATTGCAGCCTCTATATGACTGATGGGGACACCCCAAGTCGATGTGCAAAAACTGGGAACGTGGAGCCATCTTGGAGCCAGGTAAGGGCTCGTCTTCTGTCGACGTCTGGCAGCGAGCATCATTGGACCATCGTGTTGTAATGAAACATGGCTGAAAAACGCTGGCTTATAAAGGGTTGTAAGTGAGCAATATTCACAGCTAAGGCATCTGTTTAGCACGTGCCAAGCATATTTTTAGCTAACTGTCCCTATGCCAATGTTGCTGAAGTAGAGAAATTCAGCCCATTTTTCATGTTTTTCGGCTGTGTTTCAGAATGCCCTGCGCCGTCGCTGTGAAGCAAGTTTGCTGTAGAGGCAAACTGTGTCTAGTCGTCAGTGCATGTGCCAAGTTTTTTCGACTGATCATAACGGGTTTGTGACATATTGAAGTTTAAATTTGACAGGTGAAAACACAAGTTGTTCCTTGACTTTTTTTGGGCGAGTTTATTTGAGGATAAGTTGTGCTACGAGTTTTTGACCGCACTATCCGGTGGTGTGGTGTGGTGTGGTGTGGGGTGGTGAGGCGTGGCGTGGGGTGGCGTGGGGTGGCGTGGGGTGGCGTGGCGTGGCGTGGCGTGGCGTGGCGTGGCGTGGCGTGGCGTGGCGTGGCGTGGCGTGGTCGGGTATGGTGTGATGTGGTGTGGTGTTGTGTGATGTGGTGAGGTGTGGTGTGGTGTGGTGTGGGGTGGTGTGGTGTGGTGTGGTGTGGCTAGTTTCTTTTGGCTGCAAAATACAAGCCAACCCATGCCAACTATTCCAAAATTCCAGATGCACTTCTCTTCCATAAAAACACACTGGCTTATAAATTGCTTATTCCCTCTCCCCCTCACCCAACCCCCCCCCCCCCCAATCGAAACGCCTATAATACCATCTGTGAGGTGAATTGACAAACCAGGCATTTCTCGGATTTTAGCCCTATAGATACATATAGATAAATACAATTTATAGGTTGGGTTTGTACAATAATTTATTATACGAAATAATAAAGACACGCTTAACTTGAAGAAAACTGTATCAGTTTAAAATCTACACATTTAATGTGTCTATTTTCGGTCGACATCTGCACAATTTGTAGATTGCGCATGAGAGAAATAGCTCTTTTTTTTTTTTTTTTACCACGCTTCATATTTTCTTCCCAGATGGCCAATTTAGAAAGTGTCTACAGCGGCCGACGAGTTCTGGTGTTCCTTCTCAAGGACAGCATCCCTCGTTCCCGCCTCGGCATGGATCTCCTGTATCACATCCAAAACAACACCTACATGCCCTACCCAAACACTGGAAGCCAGCGGATGAATCCGGAGGTCACTACAGCTTTCTGGGACAAGATGGCCAGAGACCTTTTGAATTCGTAAATCTTGTCTTTTTTTTCGTCACTTCCTGTCATCGCGAGAAAAAGAGCCTAAAAATCTTTTGAATTCATAGACAGCTTCTGATTTCGAATGACCTTTTGTGTCTGGTAGGTGATAACATAAATGAAAACAAAACTAACAAACAAACAAGCAAAGCAAAACAAACAAACACCCCCCAACCCCCCCAACAACAAACAAACAGACAAACAAACAGACATATAGACAGACGTGCACACAAACAAACAAACTTAAATGACTTCTGCAGTTACAAATCCTGATGATGGCATTTTCAATAGATCGAATGAATCTGGTCCTATTACTCTAAGTGCACGGTTCAGCTATCTCATTGGATCGCTCGGTTGCTTTACAGTCAAAACAAAAGTCCACGAAACCCTAGCAAATTCATCAGGTTATGTGTAATCTTTTTAGTGTCAGTTTAGTAAGAGTTTTACGGCGCTCGCAACTACATAAGGTCACATGAGCGCATGTGTAATCTAACTGTAGTTATTGCGTGGACCACTTATTTCTGCTCAGGTTAACCAGAAGCGGAGTAATAAGGAAAGTTTGTAATGATGAAACATTGGATGATGATATTTGTTGAATAAAGCAGTGGATATGCACTTCGGTTAATTAGGTTTGTTTGTAGCCTCGATGTTATAGTCTAGTGGTAAAGCTACCGGACCCGTAATGATGAGGTTGCAGGTCTGACGGTTTGAGCCTCCGGTCGGACATTGTGTCATTGGGAAAGGCGCTTTATACGAATTTCCCTCACTTCACCCAGGTGTGAATGGGTAGTCGAATTTCTCTCTTAATACCATCATGCTATAGAACCGGCCCCAAGCCCTCAAGAGTTAGGGGCCCACTGTCTAGGCTCAGAGATAAAGGATGCCTCATTTTCTTCTAACTGCCTTGCAAAGCGCAGCGTGTGTTCGTTTGGCACCGGATATCCGATTACCAGTCAATTGCATTACCGCTCACGGCTATAGTTTGTCTGTAGTTTAAGAGCCTGGTATCGACGCCCTTTAAATAAGATATTAAGATATAATCAAAGAGACCACCCATTTGCCTTAAACGGCGCAAAGTTCGTTTTGTGTGTTGTGTGTTGTAACTGCCTTCACCATTTTGTGTGCATTGTTTTTTGAATATCTGCCCCGCCTTTCTGGATTATTTTCACTCTTGTATAACTTGGAGTACTTGTACATTATTCTGTAGATGATTGTTATCTTGCACTTAAAAAAAATCTAAACAATATTAGTGGTGCTTTCTTTCATTGTGGGATTGAGTAGCTGCTGGAACTATCACTGTTTATTTCTGCTGTTCATGCAAGATGGTGAGGAGCCAGACAAGCTATGCTACTTATTTAGAGTTTCATTGAAAGCGGTGATAACGGTCAACATAATTGTGAACCAACAAAATTTGACTCACATACTTGATCCTGTTACCTTTTTCAGCTATACAGTGTGTCTACCAGGACTTATTGTAATATTTTCTGTTGTTTCACGTACTTTTTATTTAAACATGTAGATCTAGTACGAATTCTGCTGTGAAGATAGGACGGAAAGATGGAAATAGTCAAAGAATTCGAGCGCCTAGAATGAAAGTAATTTGAACTGGATTCTACTTGTAAACCATGGGAGGAAATGTTCTGTGTAACGTTGGAGATATTGATATTGAAATCAGCCTGTTGATCAGAAGGTGGCAGTCTACAAATTTCCTAAAGATATTGAGAAACACAAAGTCTGGGTGTCGAGTTTACCTAATAAATTGAAGTTACTAGGGGTCACTGATTGTATAGGTGTCTGTTCCTTACATTGTCCTGAAAATGTACAAAATGGAACTTACAACTGGAAGAGGCCCTCGTCCAGCAGTACCTCCAACATTTTTCCAAGTGCCGAAATCTTGTGTCCCCAGTGTATGCCGAAGTAAGCCCGACCAACTACGAAGGCCACATGATCCAAATCTCGTGCTATGCGCATGGATGAAATAAAAGCCATTAATGAAAAAGATCTGTTTAAAGTCGATGCACTTGACGATCAGTTTACATCGATGCTCCGGAAACACGGAATAGTTGCATTTGATGAGGAACTGTCACAATATGCTATCTTTAGTAAGGAAAGAGATGGTGCTGTTCCAAAATTTTAGGTCTATTTTCAATGTATTTGTTACTCTACTGGCGTTTCAATCTCTTTTGAATTATACAGATCACTTCAAAGAGTCTACCACCCTTTCTTGAAATCAATACGACCGGAGAGTCAACTCACAGAATTGCTTCGTTTTGTTAGGTCAGAAGTAAAATATGATAGTTAATTGGAATTTTTTAATGAGACAAACTGTTCTTTTGAACTCTCCAAGAAATAGGCGACTGTATAGTGTTGTAGATTTGATCCTTGCGTTTTCGTGGAATGCAAGTTCACATGCACAGAACCCACGGTAAGAATAGCTATGACGATGTACAGTTTTTTGTGTTAATCGACTAACAATACCCATGTATGTTTCAAGGGGAATGTTTGTTGCTTTCTGCTTGCCGACTAACATATTATATTACTGCCTGTTTCTACATTGTTTATGTTTGTGGCATGTGCATGCAAAGATTGTAAAGCCTTGCTTGATCTACATTTTAAATTTTGTTTCCCATGTTTGCCCCTTAACAAATACCTTAACAAAGATAGTAACGTAGTTACAATAATGCTTTCCTTTCCACTTGTACAACCTCCTGCCTCTCTCTCCATTCATCGTCGCTAATAGACGTTCTCCTACAATGATTTAAGTATTTGCATTTTTTTCAGTTAAAGCATTCATATTTATTTTCGGCGCCCTTTAGAATGTAATGGTTTCGTTTAAGAAATCATATACCGTGAATGCCGTAATTTTTTTAACACTGACTTGTTTAATCAACACACCGACGTGGTGCTCTCACACCCTCTCACTTCTGCACTGCACTTTGTCTGCGCTGGGCACCTATCTCCCCGTGACCTACTTCGGATGAAGTGGCCTGTAGTCTGAGCATCTAGGTACCTGACCATAGACAGGGAAATGGCAGCTTGTACTGTATGCTATCCAGGAAGTTGAGATTGTTTCAAAATACTATCAGGTCTCTTGGGGTAATAATATAGATTATAAAGCGCAAAGAGCTTGCTGTTGAGCGGAAAATTAGGCTATACAAAATTAATGCTATCTATCTATCTATATTCTATCTATCTATCTATCTATCTATCTATCTATCTATCTATCTATCTATCTATCTCTCTATCTGTCTGTACAGTATTATTATTATTACTACATCTAAGAATTAATTCCTATGTCATGAATTCTTTTTGATTGAAAAGATAACGCACTGGGTGAGCTCTGCATTCTCAAATGTTATGGTCATGGTTATGAATCTTTGCAACAGCCACTACATGCCTTAGATCAAACAATGGAAAATAGCAGACCTGAGTTCGTAGGTGTATTTTTTGTAGCGTCTCGTGTTCGAAATTGCTTATATCATATATCTGATTGGATAGTTAAATTCATGCCAACAAAGATCACCAAACTGTTTGTACAATGACAGCTCTTGGTCAAGATTGTTCCTAAATTAAGAGACCTACGTGTAGTCTTTTTTTTTTAATAGTAGAGGGTTTTACGGCGCTCGCAACTGCATAAGGTCATATGAGCGCCACGCGTAGTCTAATGAAGAAGTGGACGAGTTTACTTCATAATCCATAGACCTTCTACTCAAAGAATACGTAAATTCTATTGACAATTTCTGGAGTTATGGTCCTTACTTTGAATTTCCTTTATCAAAATCGCACATAAATTCTTACGCGTTTTCGTGTGTTCTTGTTCTTGATACATATTTCCTACTCACTGACGCAACTTAACTAAATCTACTTAGCGTTGATAGTTCAGTGTACGTGCCTGGTTTTTCCTTTCACTTTTATTAATAAAGAATGAAAATGAGGGATTCCTTCTACTTTCGGCGAGTCTGGTCTTTCACTGAGTCCACGTTTGACAACTGTATTATATATTGATAGTATTGACAGTTCAGTATCCTACACCTTGTGGCTGAGCTCAAAATATTATTATGCAAGCATCTCAACCCCTTGAGTTTTGTGACAGAAAGATTGGTTTTCGATTGCATTGATATTCTTTATTGACGTAGCGGGCACACCTAATCACCAACAGGCTAAAGGTAATGGTACGGTACATTTTGAACAATCATACACAAATCGAAACACGAACTTGGCTATATCTTAATATGCATGTTGAAAATTGAAATGTCTGTGTAAATAAAAAACTAATCATTCTTCCTTTTTTATAAAGTCCTCATTTAGACATTGAATGATTAGAATTAGAATTGAAACAAGCACGATGTAATGGCTACTTAAAATTGCGCAAAAAAACACCATGGTTTCGGAACGAATCGCGATTTCGACAAAATGACCGGTCGGATGTTCAATTACAGCGAAGCGCACAGCACCGCACAGTACTACAAAGCTTTATTCCAAGGTGTTCCATAATATAGGCTTGAATCATGCCTGTGGTTTTTGTTCTTGTTTTTGTTTGTTTGTTTGTTTGTTTGTCTGTTTATATGTTGTATGTGCGTGTGTGTGTATGTGTGTGTGTATGTGTGTGTGTGTGTGTGTGTG